AAAAATACAATAGAACTAGTTAATAAAATACAACATTTTCAATTACCTAACAACTCCAGATTAATTTCATTTGACGTAAAAAATCTTTTTCCTAGTATCCCTCTTACAGAAACTTTTATTTTAGTAAAAAACCTTTTATACCAAAATAGTACAAATCCAATCAATTACATCTAAAATTTTACATCTTCTTGAAGTTTGCATAAACAAGGACTACTTTGAATTTAATAATAAAATATACAAATAACAGTGCCGGACTTATAATGGGTAATCCTCTAAGCCCATTGCCATCAGATATTTTTATGGATCATCTAGAGACAAAGATTTCAAAACATCCCGTATTCAAACAGTTTGTATATTGGTGGAGATACGTAGACGACGTACTGGTATGTTTCACAGGAACTAACAGACAACTCGACCAATTTTTATCGTATATTAATTCAGTTGATAGTCATATTGAATTTACAATAGAAACAGAACAAAATCAATCCATAAATTTTTTAGATTTAAAAATTAGCAGACTTCAAAACAAACATGACTTCTCCATATTTCATAAACCTACCCATACTGACACGACTATACACAATTCATCATCCCATCCAACACAACATAAACTGGCAGCTTATCATAGTATGTTACATAGATTAACAGAAATTCCGATGTCAAAATACAACTTTGAGACAGAATTAAATATAATTAAGCAAATAGCAGTAAACAACGGATACAACGAACAAACAATTAATAAAATGTTAAATCAAAAACTACACAAGAAAGCCCTGAAATTAGTATTTCCACCACTAGAGAAAAAACCCAGTACATTCTGCTCGATTACATATACAGGCAAAATAACAACAAAAATTGCCAAACACATAAAAAAGAAAGGAATAACACCAGCTTTCCGAACAAATAACAACCTAGGCAAATATATTAAAAATAACAAGAGCCAAAATAAAAAACACTTAAATAGTGGTGTGTACAAACTTCAATGTGGCGACTGCCCAAAAACTTACTTCGGTCAAACTGGTAGAAACTTTGATAAAAGAATAGCAAAACATAAAAGGGCTTTCAAGAATAGAAAAACAGATTCGACATACGCACTTCACCTTCTAGATCATAATCATTCTTTTAATGGCAAATTTAAAATTCTTCACATTCAAAATAAAGGCCTTAAGCTATCTTTGTTAGAATTGAAATCAACAAATTAAAAAACACAGATATAATTCTGAATGACCAACTTGAGACAAACAGTTCTCCCCTCCTCAACCTATTTCATTAGAGACTATAAATTTGTAAACCCAAGCCAGAAATAGATCACTTGAGAAAGGCAATCAGCCGAAACAGCTGTAGTGATGAGATTTAAAATAAATTTTGTGGAAGTTTGAAAACAAAGTTTTCAGTGTTTTATTGTTATATGTAAGTTATGTTACATTTTTTTAGCATTTGTCATTATTAATGAAAAATAAATAGAAAATGGGCTTACATGGTTTTATTAAAGCTTAAATGAGTAAAAAACGCTTAAAACGAAATAATGAATTGTCTTTACTAATTTCACAAAAAAAAAACTAAAAAAAATGGGGTCCGGTAGACCCCAGGACGCAGTTAACGGCAGAATAAATCACGAAGCCAGTTGAGAGTTAAGGGATATTGCCTGTGAATCGGCAGAAGTATTTCAAAAGCAGGAATTTTTAAGACAAGAAATCATCGTGATACAGTATTTTAATATTGTGTTGAATTAATTAAACTGATAAAAATATTTCAACAAGTTAAGTCGACAGCAAAATTTACCATTCATAAATAAGTCTACTGATATGAAAATGACCTTGAGAAGTTCAAGACTTATTCACCTGGCTAGTCTAATAAGGGAAAGAACTAGGTGACACAGCAAAATGCTGACCAGTTTAATATTAGATGCATGTTTATAATTACTTAACATTAAAATCTTAGAAAAGAAACTTAGCTACAAGAAAAATATAAGGAATAATACTAGTTTCAAAAAAAGTAATATTTTTTTCAATTCCTTTAAAAAGTTGTTTTACACAAATAAAACGATTTAATTTATGCTTGAACTTATTGTTGTTATTTCAGACAGATTAAATTAAAAGTCAGTTTTAAATATACCTATTGAGAAAAATAATATCTAAACTATAATACAAAGAAGCAGCAAGTAAAAAATAAATATAAATCGGTTAAAATAAATAACCGATTTTCAATCCGGGTTTAGGTCATTTCACAACTGTGAAACAGCACTCCTTAAAATAACTGATAACATTTTAAGAGAAAGAGATGTGAGTAAGGTTACCATTTTAGTTTTGATCGATTTCTTTAAGGTATTTGACACTCTCACTACTCTGTGCAATTTTGAAGTCAATCAGCTTTTCCGTGGATGCATTGAATATGGTTAAGTCATACTTGCATCATAAGAAACAGAGGGTCAAAGTAGACGAAAGAAGTTCTGATTTTCTAAACATTTTGTCAGGGGTATCTCAGGGCTCAATCTTAGGTCCAATTTTATTTACTTTATATACCACCAATATTGGTATTGTTAATCAAGATATTAAATCATTGATTGCTTGGGTAAGATTAAATATAAACTCTAAAAAAACTAATCTGGTGGTTTTTGGTCCAAACGGTGTGTTTGGAGATGAGTAACATTTAAATAGTTGTTGATATTGAAATCATTAAACCTGTAACTAGTGGAAAAAATCTAGGTTTAACTTTAAATAATCACCTCAAATTTACTAAACATATTAACACCTGTGTGAGTAAAGCATTTCTCAGTCTACGAACAATTTATCATCATCGCCGCTGTCTGTCATAGAAAGTAAAAAGAATACTGTGCGAAAGTTTAGTATTATTTAAATTTAGTATTATCGAAATTTAACTATGGAGATGTTGTGTATGGGCCTTGTATTGGTTCAAATGACAGGAGAAAAATTCAGGTGGTTCAAAATTTGTGTCTTCGTCTGATCTGTGGTGTAATAAGACACCAGCCTATTTCTCACAAATTAAAACATGTAAAATGGTTACATGCTGCTTGTCTTTTCCACAAAGTTATCAAAAACTCTCTATCAGCATATCTTTTTAAAAAAATTATATACGGAACTGACATACATAAATTCAATACAAAATACAAAAATACAATTAGAGCTTCGCCACATTATACAGAACAATTCAAAAATTCATTTACATATCAAATATCAAAAGTATATAATGGAATAGCTAAATAATTAAAGTTAAAATCGATTATCTTGTAAGAAATCTCTTAAATCTAAATTGCTAAGTGAGTAACATAATATGTGCAACTATTTGATGACCTGTTATGAAGTATGTATAAACTGTGTGATAGTTTTTGGACAATATTTAAATGCTAAATGTTTCTATTGATTATGGTTTTTAATTGATTCTTAGAGAACATGCAAAAAAATATATATTTTTTTCTCTTGCTAAGATGAAAAGCAGAGGTACTGATTTCTTGAAATCAGCATCAACTGATCGTCAGCATTTTTTCTTTCTTATTGCATTTTATGCATATATAATTTATATATTTTTTTCTTTCTTATTGTATTGTATGGATAAATAATTTATATACTTTGTGTATTGTATGAATTTGAAGGAAAAATAAAGATTTTATTATTATTATTATAATTATGGCCGACTTGCTATGACTGTAATGCTAAAGTTAACCGATGAAAAACAAGAAAACATTGTAAGAAGCTTTGGATCAGGAAAAAACCGTGAGGGGTGATAGACTAGTCCAGTACTGACATGAGAAAGAATTGGTCACAACAAATATAAAAGTACTACAACTTACTCCCAGATGTGGAGATGCTACATACTACAACTTACCCCAGAGAATGATTAAAGGACAAAGAAAAGAGATGAACGAACTAATAAAAACGAAACATATTTAGAAAGAAAATGGACTATACTTTTGATCTCTATTTGCTAAAGGTGACGATAATGAACCACAAACGAAGAAATAAATATTGAGGAGGAAGAGGTAAAGGAAGCATTAAGGAAATTAACAAATAGAAAATCACCAGGGAAGGACAAAATACCGAATGAACTCTCCAAAAAATAAGAATACAAAACAAAATTCCTCAAGAATGGAGATCGAGGATATCTCTTCAAAAAAAGGAGACAAATCGGAACCAGAAAATTATAGAGGAACTGTGTTATACTGCACTATGGATAGCGGACCTATAAATTCTTAGCCTCATCCCCCGATCACGCCACTATCGCAATAATTCTATACTATACGTTTAGAACATTCTCGTAGACGACAATGTGCTACATAATCGATAGTAGGTGTGTCTGTCCTATAGGTCGTAAGGGAGATGGCCACCGTTTTCTGGGATTCTCAAGGTGTTATCTACATCAACTAGCTGGATAAGGGCCAAACAGTTACAGGACTCTACTACGCCGAATAAATGGGCCGATTTCACGCCAAATTGCAGAAAAAACGGCGTCATTTGGCGAAGAAAATGAGATGTTCATCCATGAGACGCTTCGGCTCACCCCTCCGATCAATCAAATTGGTCGAATTGGGCTACGAACTGCTGCCCCATCCATCTTATTCTCCCGATTTGATCCCGTGCGACTTGTTTTTGTTTTCAAACTTAAACAATCACAAGCCGAGCAGAAGCCTACTGTACAGGCTTCGAGAAAACGTGGATTTCAGCCGGGTTAAAGATGAGTATGTTGAGAAATAAATCTCAACTTTTCCCAAATTTTCGGTTTTCTTTTGTAGGCTAAATTAATTTGAATGACAAATATTAACCCTAAATCGTGTAATTTCCACTAAAATCATATAAATGTAAACCATTTTTTTTTCTTTACTGTAATTTTTCCCACAATGATTGGAAACCAAAATTCGATAAATAAATAACTTTGTAATATATTATCAATCAAATCAAATGTATTTTATAGTATTGTTTTGTTGCATTTTTACTCCATTGTAATCAATATATACCTATAAAGTAATGGATATGATTAATACTTACAAGTTTCCTTCGTCATTAATACCAAGAGCCTTTCTCAACTCCATAAAAAGGTTTTTTGCTGTATTAACTGAATGGTCTGAATAACTAGCTAAATTTTTGCCTGTTACTGCATTAGTAAGGGTTGTATATTCTTTATTATTGTCCATACTCATTCCTGGAGAGTCTAAAGTATCTAAGGAATGCAGGAGACTGTCAGAAAAGGGTGATGGAATATCATCAAAATCACTGAAATCTATTCTTGATATCCAAGAGGAGAGGTTTTCCTCCTTTTTAATTACGTCTCCTGTTATATCTGTGTTTACCTCTGTGCTTATTGTTTGTGGTTTTGGTGGTTTAATATCAACTTGAGTACCTTGATCCCTAAACATTTTTGCTGTAACATAAAACAATATTGTTTTAACTGGTGGATGTTAGATCTAGATATTTAAAAATGAAAGATGTGTATTTACAGAAAATTTACTTTAACTCTTGCACTGACTGACAAACACCACACAATTTAAATATTGACAAATTAAGAAGAATTAGATAGAAGAATTTTAAATAGTCTGATCATCTTGTCTCACAATAAGAAAAACCAAGGCCATTACCATTCTGTCCACAAAAAGGTTAATTAGATCAATTTAAATAAAAAACTTAATTTCCCCTTAACAATAATGGGCCACTGTCAGTAGAGAAAGCCAAAATGCAGTTACTCCAATGACATTTATAACAGAAATCTTTTAAAAAGTCAAATTCATAAAGTATTTGTTCTTGCTAGGTTTTAGTAATCTACAAAAATATTTGTCTTAGGAATAATATTAATTTTTTGTAAATACTGTGCAAAATGGTTTCAGTTTTGTTTCGTAAATGAACCTTTGGAATATCTAATAGAATGATAGACCATGGAATTAATTTCAGCCATTAATTCTGTAGATCTTTTGCAAACAGAAAAATTAAGTTACTCCAATTTGCAGATAACAATGAACTGCAATACAAACATGAAATAATATTGGTATAAAAAGCTCTCTTTAGGAAACGAACAAGATTTCAGACAAGAATCAAAAAAATAAAAGAGTCGGAACAACAGTTGAAATGAGATAAAAGAAAATTATATTTAGAATATTCAAGAAAAAATAGAAACAGAAAAATGACTAATAAAAGTAACCAAATTGGTTAACATTTTCTGAAGGTTCTCGGTAATCCTAAAAAAACGAAAACTAAATACTTAATATATAAATGCTGGTAAACTTTTGTGCCAAGTCCAATATATAGCTGATTATAATATATACTTACTACCAAAAAATCAATTGATATTAAAAGTTGTATGCATGTTTAAAATACATAATATCCTCAAATCAGAGAGAAATAGAGAGTCTTCCATTACACTGTGGTAAACCAATGTTGTTTGGTTCTTCAAATTCATCACCCTATATCCGTACCTCGGAGGTAAAGGACACTGTCCATTTTCTTACTTTTTAAGGAGAGCAGTTTTAACATTTTTTAAATTTGTAATCAGTAAATACTCAAATGTTTCTGATATTTAACCAAAATAAATATAAGATATATGTATATATATATATTATATATATATATATATATATATATATATATACAGTGTAGGTAAAATTTTATGGTCGGTATGGTAAAACTTAACAGGATATCTAACACAGATATAAAATCATATTTTCAGCGAATAGACAAAGATAACAATCATATTCCCCCTTGGTCTCCCCTCCATAAATCTTCTTGACGCCCATTTTGCCTGTTAGTGAGACGATTAGTTCCGATCAGAGATATTTTACATATTCTGTGGTTCCGATCCTCATAAAGCTAAGAAACTAGAGGTGGGTCCTTTAGTTTTTTAAATTTTTATCGGAACCGTTTTTCGTAAACTGTAACTAGTTGATTGTTTATTAGTATTCAAATTAGCGAGTACACAAACATATTGGCTATTATCGTTTATGTGTATAAGTATTGAAGTGAAAGAAACTAACGAAAAATATATTTATTATAACTTGAAAAATAAATTAAACAATACAAATAGTACTTACATTTACATGGACTTATCATCTTTATCAGTTTCTTTTTCTTGTACTAGTTAATTTTCAATAGTATAATCTTCTTTTTCTTTTTTTATAGAAGTAACCAGCTTCAACCATCAACTAGTTGATTTTAACGAATTTAACGGAAAATTTAGAGTTTAACACGGTTTAATTAGACTGCTGCCATTTTTCTGGAAACCATAATTCAGAAAACATCGCTTTTAAAATTAGTGAAATTATTATTCAGTGGGGTCTAAAACAAAAAGTAAATTTTGCAGTAACTGATAATGCCTCAAATATGGTCATAGCTATTAAATATGTTTTGGAATGAAAACATTTAAATTGTTTTGCTCATACGTTAAATTTATTGATGGAGGACGCACTTAAATGCTGTCGTGTACAAATAGATAAAATAAAAAGTCTTTTTTTCGACAATTCGGCAAAAAACACATTTCAAAAAAGTACCTTATCTTCAGAAACGCTTTTAAAGTATCAATTACAACATAACAAAGATCCCAAACGGCCAATCCAAGACGTGGAAACTAGGTAGAACTTCACCGATTACATGTTAGAAAGAATGACGGAGTTAGAAGAGGCAATCCGTTCCACATTGGTATCAGTTAATACAGACTTAGACTTAGACCAAATCTAAATAATGAAGACTGGATTATTTTTTCGTAATTGTCCTAAATTTTACGGCCTTTTAAAGAAATAACAAGTACAATGAGTGGCCAAAAATACTTGAATGATAGTTCAGTGATTGTTCTGGTACGCTGCCTGCAAAAATCTTGCAATAAAATTTTAGCAAACAGTAACCTTACATCCATAGTTAGTATCCGACGTAGTACGAGTTTTTATTACTAATTACGGGATAATTACTAATCTCGGGTTTAGCATAAAGATTTAGAGGGATAGAATACAGTGGCATATTGTCATTATGTACGTTTATGGATTCACGATTTAAAGTGCAGGGATTTTCTGATAAAAATGACGCTAAAAAAAACAAAAGAAAGAGTTAAGAAGCTGGTTACTTCTATAATTAAAGAACAAGAAGATTGTACTATTGAAAATCAACCAGTATAAGAAAAAGAAACCGATAAAGATGACTTAAGTCCATGGTGTATTTTTGATCAATTAATTGGACCTGACTCATCTAAACGTACACCTGTAGCGAGAGTCCATTACAATGGTGGAAAAACCATCGCCATGTATCTCCTAACTTAACCACTATATTCATAAAGTATTGTAAATGTGAACACATGTTCAAAATCAGGTTTAATTTTAAATAAAAGAAAAACACGGTTAATTAGAAGTAAAGTAAAAAAACTTATGTTTTTAAATGTCAATTTAGACGATTCGTGATTTAATAATAACGTGTAATGTAAACGTAGGTACGATTTACTATTTGTATTGTTTAGTTTAGTTTTCAAGTTATAATAAAATCTTTTATTTGTTTCCTTCACTTCAATAAATATACAGATAAACGATAATAGCCATTATGTTTGTTTATGTAGGTAGTTTCTTACTTGAAACTACTATTAAAAAATCATAGTTACTTGTTTACGAAAATCGGTTTTGCGACGTCAATGACCCACCTCTATTCGTAAAAATACCTGTTTACGCTCTGATTCGGTGATTTGACCACACGACACGCAACGTTGGCAAATAGTTTTGTACGAAGCTTTTTTATTTATATGCAGTTTAATATTTTTATTGAAAATAAGGCATAATGTCACTTTAAAATAAGCTTATTTTGATGTTTAGATTTTTAATTCGGAAATCGTTTTTAAAATACCAAACATTAATAAATTTTATTTATATAAAACGATTTCCGAAGTATAAATCAAAATGTTATATTACACTTATTGTAAAGTAAAATTGTGGCATATTCCCAATAAAAAACAATAAGCTGCCATTTAAATCCATTGCGCCCAAATTTCATTATCTTGGAGCATTGTTCAAATGCGAAAAAGACAACAGGTGAAATAAAACCAATAAGTTTGGCAACGTTGAATTTCCCCTTTTTATTATATCCACTCCATATCCACTCATTTATGTTCGGTGATATAAAAGGCGGACACCTAATATATCTCTCTCTTTTTAAACAGTTGTTTCTCACTCCATCTCATGTAAGGTCCATACCGACCATAAACTTTTACCTATACTGTATATATATATATATATATATATAATATAATATATATAATATAATATATTAATTTTGGTTAAATATCAGAAACATTTGAGTATTTACTGATTACAAATTTAAAAAAATGTTAAAACTGCTCTCCTTAAAAAGTAAGAAAATGGACATAGTGTCCTTTATCCCCGAGATACGGATATATTCAGTAACTATTGAAATCTCCTTTTTAATACAAGTTCAACTGTATGTAACACCTACGATTTTATGTAGTCTGGAAGATCGTAAATACATAAAACACAAGTCTGGCAATGCCTAATTGTTTCAATAAACTTTTCAATACTATCTATTTTCAACTACATAAAACGTAACAATTGATGGATTACAATATTTTTTAATATAATGATTACTTTATCAAGTGTTCAAAATGTGCTCCATTTGTGAGTTGAAAGTACTCTAATCAATGGTAGAATACATCTACCACATTTCACCATGATTGTCTAGAAATTATTAGAGATTTGCCGATAAATTCGTTGCCTTAACTCTGCAAGACTTGCTGGTTTAGTTTTATAAACTGAATTTTTCAAGTATCCCCAATAAGAATAATCTTTAGGATTGAAATCAGGTGAACGTGGAGGCCATTCAATTCTACCTTGTCTATCAATCCATCGCCTGGGAAATATCTCATCTAAATAACGCTGAACATTTACACCTCAATAGCTGGAGCTCCATCTTGCTGAAACCATATCTGATTAAAATTGGCCCCAAACAAGTTTCTCAGTGTAGGTACAATTTCATTTCTAAGTAACATTTCGTAACTATCCGACGTTAAATTTCCTTTGATAAAAAATGGTCCAATTAACTGAGTACCTACTAGACCTGACCATACATTTAATTTTTGTGGTCTTTGAGTATGGTTTTCACGTATCCAGTGTGGATTTACGTCACTCCAGTACCTTAAATTGTGTCGATTTACACTTCCACAAAGTGTAAAGGTTGCTTCATCAGAAAAACATATTCTGTTAACAAAATTTTTATCATTTTCAATTTTATCCATCATTACCTCAGTAAACTCTAATCTACGATCGAAGTCATCTTCACTTAATTCTTACAATAAGTTAATTCTGTATGGTTTAAATTTATTCTTACCTAATACATATAAGACTGAAGAATGACCTACATCATGTACTTGTGCAACCCTGTGTGAGGATGTTGTGTATCTTCAACAAAACTTTGCATTATATATTTATTATATATTAAGTTTTGTTGGCATTCATAACTCTTTTCAGTCTACCTGATCGTTATCTATTTTTTTCTTCTCCACATTTGTCAAACCGCTTTACAGTTTTTGTGCTGTCGCTTTATGAATAGGAAAATGGTTTGGGAAAGTCTCATTGAACAAGTTGGCTACTTCACAATAAGATCTTTTTCTGTCACTGTACCCTCACATCATTAGAATAGTAATTTGTTATTTTTCGTTAAGAGCCGTTTTAGATAAACAATTTATCTTGCACAACTTTTGAAAAACAAATACTGTCAGTTTTATTTAATAATGTAAATGGTGAACAAATGTCAAAATCACAGCATTCTACATTTAAATATTTAAATTTATTAAAATCTATATATTTTGCACTGTTTTATGTATTTAAGACTTTCCAGACTACATAAAATTGTAAGTGTTAAATATGGATGAACTAGTATTGAATAGGAGATTCCAATACTGACTGAATATACAGGGTGATGAATATGAAAAACCAAAGTTATTAATAATATAAGAGAAACTGCAAATCTGGCAACATTGCAAATATCAAAAATGGAATCCCCTTATCTCAAAAATTGTGTACCTCAAATTTTGTACAATTATGACTGCAATTTACAAAATAATGGGCAGTTTCCAGACTTTTGGGCCATTCTGTATAATAAATATGATATGTTCAGTAAAGGTGATTTGGAGAAAGGTGACTAACACCTGGGAATTTACCAACCTTTTTAAAATAATCAATTCGAAAAATAATGTCATTATACTGAATATAGCTTTTCTTTCATAAAACATTCTTAAAAGTTTATAACAAAATTTAAGTGAAATTCACTTAAGTCAGTTTTTATAGTACTACTACCTAATACAGAGGCTTTGCGATGCTGTTGTTTAGTTTAGGATACTTATGACTACCTGTTACTGTATGTAAAAGAACTGTGATTATGGTCACTGTAAAATCACTGTTATTTGAAAATCACTGTCACTATAGCAAACACTAATTTTATTTTAAGAGGTATACTATGTTCAATAAACAATAAATCTAGAACCAAGTGTCTAATAAAATAAATAATGCTATATAATAATGAATTTTTTGCTAAGTTGGAAAGTTTGACTTCTACTGAATGTGGCTGGAAGTTACTATATAACCAAGGAATTGTGCTCTCAGCCAATATTAATAGTAAAAAGTAAAAAATTATTCACAGAAGTTTGTAAACAAAATAAAACTGCATTAATTAGAACAAAGGATAAAATGTTTATTTTTTCAGTCATTTATAAATATGTATTTAGAAATAAAGTTTTTAATTAAACTTAAAATACACTCCCATTATTCCTGATTATTCTTTTTTTTAATTCAAGAAATCTGAAATAGTAAGTTGATTTCAGCTATTAATGAGTTGTAATAGGAATGTTTGTGTTGTGTGTTTACGATAATGACTCCTTCAAAATAATCAGCTGAGTGAACGGACTATAATACCAAGATATTGATTCATAACTTTCTCAAACTTTTTTTTGTCAAATAATGTGTGCACTGGAAATCTTTTAAGATTAACTCTTGTTGCCAATAAACAATTGTCTTTTAAAATAAAAATAGCTCTAGCATTATTTAAACTATAAACTTATTGACACATGCAACAGTATTACAACTACAACTGTACAACAAGGGATGGTCAAGTATGACCAGTAAATCACAACTAATCCTACAAAAATACCTGTTTATTAAAATTTTAGTTTTTAAAATATTAAATAATTTAAAATGTATTAATAGAGAGTGTAATATATAAGTGAATATATAAGTGTAACTTAATTGAATTAGGTTTTATAGCTCTTTTGAATTCTCACGAAAAAATAGTATTCCATTAAAAAAAAATTTTGGAGCAAGTTTTAGATGAGTCTTTAGTATATCAACTAAAAATAATCTATAATTTGATCATGTCATTAAACAAGATTATATTACTTAAAAATTATATGCCAATAGGTAATGATTTTTAGCGCTGCATTTTTAAGTGAGTACTTAGAAATAGTAGAATAGGTAGTTAAAATTTGTTGTTAAAAGTCATTAACACTTTGAAACCATCATAAATTCAGAAGAATATATAGCTTATTCCCCTTTAAAAAACAAATTGTGTTTGCCAACATGTAATGTATATTTCGGAATAATTTTAAAATATGTATCTACATGCCTACAAATTATATTAACATATTTCATATATTTTATAATAATATACTTTTTGGGACTTCATCCCAGAAGTAGATTTTTAAATCAAAACTATCAACATCTATGATATGCATATTTGTATAATTGATAAAAAAATATGTATGAGTCCAAAATGTATTTTTCCTAAGTATATTATTATGTATTTTCACTACTCACCAGTTTAAAATATATAGGTATGTAATGTTAAGTAAACTCTGGAAAAGTAACTACATCACTACATGTAACAAGCACAAACTCATACCAACTAAACTAATATGTTGTAATATGTTTATCACAAATACTAACCTGGGGTTTTCACAGACTGGGATTCACCATTTTTTGTCAAGTCCAATGCAACACTGTCTACACTGTCCTGATTGATTGGTATACACACCACTTTGTTTCTTACAGTTATTGGTTTTGCAAACATTTTAATTTTATCAGCACAAATAATGTTGATATCAGTTGTGTTAGCTTTAGAGCTCCCTGTGATACTGGCTACATTTATTTTTATAAGCTTGTTTTCATTTATTGGAGGTTTATTGCTTATCTGTGACATAACATCCTTATCAAGTTTTATAGACAAATTTGTAATTTTAGGAGATTGTTTACAATCCTCTTCCACTGGTTTCAATAGTGGTTTACTAACTTTTATCATCTTAGGAACTGAATTGTTTGATGTACTTTTTTTTAACAAACTATTTGAAACTTTAGAATCTGTTAATATATTTTTCTTTACACTTGTAGCCTCTATTGATATATTTTTGAAAATGGGATTACTTGATTTACTAGAAATAGATATGGTTTTTACTAAATCTTTTGAAAGTTTAGAATCTGTTATATTTTTCTCTATATTTGAAGTCTGTGGTGCACTGATTTTTATCAACTTTGGAATTGAATTGTTCGATGTGGTAGAAACAGATCTCCTTTTTAACAACACATTTGGAAGTTGGGGATCCTTTGTTAATAAATTTTTCCCTACATTTCGAGTCTCTAGTGGACTGATTTTTATCATCTTTGGAACTGAATTGGATGTTGTAGAGACAGAATTATTTTTTAACAAGACATTGGGAAATTTAGAATCTGCTAAATGTTTCCCTGGACTCTCTGGTGCATTGATTGTTATCATCTTTGGAATTGAATTATTTGATGTACTAGGAATAGAGGTGGTATTTATCAAGTTGTTTGGAAGTTTATTTTCTATTGATACATGTATCCCTAGATTTGAATTATTTTGTGTATTGGGAACAGGTGACCTCTTTAGAAGTCCTTCTGGCAGATCAGCTAATATCATCAGCTTCTTTCCATTAAACATTATAAACTTTTCACTGTTATTGCTAGTTTCAACTTTGAAATTCGATTTTTTTATAAAAGTATTAGTTACTACAGGTTTATTATTCACTTCATTAATAAAAGTTTCAGAGCTTAGAACAGGTAGAAAATCCTTAAAGCCAAGAAGGCAGCTATTGTTATTTACAGTTGCAGATTTAGGTTTCAAAACAATTGCAGAATTTTTTTTATATACAAGTGTATGTTTAACTAGTTCCATTGCCTTGGAACAGAAGCTATTCTTAGGTTATCCTTGTTGATCAACTTGAAAAATATTATATACTCACAGTTTTGTTTACCTAAACACAGGTTTTGCACTTAGTTATAAACATAAATCGGATCATTATTACTCTCTTTTTATTTGCAAGGAGTAAAAATGATACATTAGTAGGGTAATCCCCTTAAATTTTGTAATATTAAACCATTATTAAACAAACTACGTATGTCTTCTGTCAACCACTAATTCAATACATAACACTATTTACTGTTTCACTTCATTACTTCATTAATAAAAATAGTAATTCACCGATTACTATCGGCATAGATTCTAATAATAATCTATAAACATAAATTACACAAGGTTACTTGGAAACACACGCGTTCTGTAAAGGCCAAAGAAAATGCAACATTAGAATGGAGTGAACTCCTATCACAATCGAAACATTGAGATCGATCGCTAGAGTATCGATTTTAATAGAATATTTAAGTTTTAGATTTAATTAAAACTTAACTTTTATTAATATACTTAAAATTGTATTAACATTCAAATAATTTTTTAAAGAAGGGTAATATGTCAATTTTGATATTTTATGTGGTTTTTCTGTTTATTTATTTATATTTCATTATCATTCGATGGTCGAATCATCGATTTTATTTGACTAGTTGACAGTTACTCGTTCAAGATATTTTCTAAAAACTAACTGCGTATTATAGGCGAGCGGTTTGCCACTAAAAAGACGCTTTGAAACGGAATACCGACTAAATTTTTTTGGAATTCTACCGCACCAAACCTTTTTATTCGATTTTATATAAGTTCAAATGTTTTTTTTTTTAATTTTTTCAAGCAAGCCATTTTTTTGTTATAACGAAATAAGAAAAACAAAGATTTCTACCGTCGCGCGCCTGTATCACCGCAACCGTACACGCTGAACATACGCTGAATTATAATTACTGGATATGCATCAAGATATAAACCATTTATCCTTGTCAAAATATTCTTACTTCTACTTGTAGATTTAAAGATTATAACGTTTATTATACGCCTAAAAATTGTAATTAGGTATTAATAACAATTTCCGGCCCACTCGGAAAAATTAAATAAAAATATATTTAAACTTGAAAAAATATATAAAATCCATGATATAAGGATAACAGATATGATATTGCCACGCACTAAACTCGTACACTCACGCGCATGACGTCACCTTGTGCTAAATTTTCAAAATGTATTCATGCTTGCGGATGAAACGAACTGTTGAAATTGTAATATAATTTACTTGATGTTTTATTTACTACATGAATTTAAGCTTAAGTATTTAAATTAGTATATTGTAAAAAATAACAATTTTCCCATAAGAGTAAAGTTTGATGGAGGGAGCCATATCCGAATGCCACAAATTGCAAACTATGGAATGTGATTTTCATACAATATATATATTTTATATATAGAAGTTAGGTATTATTGACTGACACGTTAGGTAAACTATTTCTTTTGAGGTTGCAGTCATTAGTAGGGCAGAATAAGTAAAACTCTTTGTTCTTTTATTTAGCTTTCACAAAAATTTATTAGCTTCTTCAGGATATGCTAATATATGGTTATAATTATTTAATCTCCTACCTACATATATATATATATATATATATATATATATATATATATATATATATATATATATATATATTATATATATATATATATATATATATTATTATATATATATATATATATATATATAAATTATGTATATATTATATATATATATATATATAAATATTTTTCTTTTGAGGTTGTAGTCATTAATAGGGCAGGATAAGTAAAACTCTTTGTTCTTTTATTTAGCTTTCACAAAATTTATTCGCTTCTTCAGGATATGCTAAAAGTAAAATGTATGGTTATAATTATTTAATCCCCCAACTATATATATATATATATATATATATATATATATATATATATATATATATATATATGTATATATATATATATATATATTATATATATATATATATATATATTTACATCCTACTATCCTTAAGGACTCAAACCATAGCGCAACCTTACGGCCTCTCCTATTTCCAGGTGTATATAATATTTTAGTAGTCGTGTATATCGACACAGGTAACAAAACATTCTTAATGCCCTAGTTTCTATTTGGATAAAAGAAAATTTAACATATACTCTCCCCCTCGGTTCTCCTATTATTACCACCTCGTGCCGATTTCCGATTTTACAGCCTCATCAGTATAATTTTTATCCGTATTGTGGTCTTGGGGCCTCATATACACGACCTTATAGACTCATACGGTGTTGTCAATTCGCTCACTGCGTATTTCGATAATTCGGGGATTCCCCTCTTTATTTCCTATTTAAGCCAAGAAAGTTATTTCTCATTTCGCGGTTGTTTAAGTAATGGATACCTCAAAATAGATTTATGATCTTAAAAACGGCAAAAGTATAATATTTAAGTAACCTATATTTTAAACAGAAGCTTATAAATGACACAATATTGTTATGATTTCTAAAAATTTGAACCTAAAATTTATTGAAAGAAATATAATAATTTTGGTTATTTAAGTCAATGTAATACTTTTTTAAAAACATTTAACACAACTGGACACAAATCAATGAGATACCATATTCTTACAAATATAAATTAATAATACCACCAAGTATTAGATGTAGGGAGCCTGATCTAAGCTAAAGTAGGGACTGGCCACAATTTAGTTTTGGAAAAAAGTCATCTTAATTCGATTAAGAATCATAAACACAAACTACCAACACTAGAAACTAAAATTAATAAAGACAATTTTGACAAAAAACTATATCAAAGTAGGCTAGATCAAATAATTTAACAACAAAGCGTTACATGCGATGAAGATAACCAAGTTAGTTGGGAAAAGAATTAAAACAACATAAAGCAAACAAGCCTCTAGGAGGAATAAAAATAAACACAAACTTAAATGAAAGAAAACGTACACTATAATTTTTACCCAAAGTATAGAAATATATCTGAAGGAAAAAATAATGTTTATATAAAATATAGATCTGAAAGAACGCAGGGGAGTTATGAATGTAAGAGAGTTCGTAACACGGCACATGGGCTAATCAGGCCGAAGAAAACAATAAAACAGTAAAAGTTTATAAGAGGGACATATAATAGAAATTAAGGAATTAATATAAGATATCAACATAAATAAAAAAATGGACAACATAATATTAGACAAATAAACCGAACAAAGGAAACTGAACATGCTCTTGAAACTCCCGATATAACATCAAATGAGTTAACGCAAATGATAAAAACATGAGATAAAAGAAGTCATCATAAAGTTAAAAAACAGAAAAGAAATTAATAAAATAAGGCTTATACAACAGTTAACCATAATATTTAATAAAGGGTTAAGGTCATCAACAATACATGAGGAGTGGAGAACGAGTATTATGTTTTTTCTTTTACAATAGGTGTAATGTGCGACCATAATACTCTAAAGGAATTGTTAAGTACTATTTTGAAATTAAAATTAAAAATAATATCAAATAATTTGAAGAAAAGATTAGTATACCAGACTAACAACAAGTTTCTTGTGCAGAGAAGTATATAATAATATAATGAACTAGCCTAACTATGTTTGGTTAATTTAGAAATGTCCTACGACACAGTGAGACTATCGGATGCGACATACATCTGTACAACAGATAATCCAGATTAGTTGATATCATAAAAATAATAGAGAACCGACATGTAAGAAACAAAACCGAAGTAAAAGTTCAAATAGAAAAAAAAAAAGAATCTATAAACACTACAACTGAAATCAGGTATGGAAGTCCAGTTGTAATATTTATTCTTTTATATTTAATATAGTATTGAGAGGTTTTAAGCTAGTAAAAATAAAAAAAACAACCGGCAAGCAAGGAGATAAAGATAATATGCGATGTTTATGACGAGTTTTTGATAACAGAGAACGAAGATGATCTCCAATAAATACTACACCAGATTAATATCAAAGCCAAACGATTTAATAGGAAAATTTTATCACTTATTATGAAAAGTTTGGTATTGTCAAAGGAACCAACAAGGTGAAAGAAAGTTCAGATTGAAAACCTACTGATAAAACAAGTATTAAAATTTAAATATATGGGAATAAACTTATCGACCAACAAAAATATTGAGGAGAAAGTAAGGGGATAAGTGCTACAATGACACAATACGGTGAAACAGACACTAGATCTAGACAAACAAGCATAAATAAACAAATCTGTAATCCGACCAGTCATGACATATACAGTAGGAACAAGATCAGAAACAAGCACATATATTTGGAGACAAATGAGATGAGAATACTAAGAAAAATGACCGGAAAAAGACTATTAGACAAAACAAGAAGCAATGATATGAGAAACCTATGCAGAATAAACAATATTAATCTATTTGTACAGACACAAGCATAGATATTTGAAGACAAATGAGATGAGAACACGAAGAAGAATAACCGGAAAAAGACTTATTAAACAGAACAAAAAGCAATGACATAAGAAACTATGCAGAATAAACAATATTATTTAATTGGTACAGGAAAGAAAAAGAAAATGAATCTGTTATATTAGGCAGAATGGTAGAAAATATCATATCTAGATTAGCCCTGAAAAGAAAGAGATAAAACGAAATTATCCACACGAATAGGAAGAAAACGGGCAATTTGCCTATATAAAAAAAAGAGGAAGAAGACATTATAGTTAATTGAAAAGTTACATTGATATTACATTTTTAAGAGGATGCAATTATCTTTTTTGATGTATGGAGTGTAATAATGTGGAATATAAACTTAAGTTTAAGTTTGTAGGGTTGCCATTCTTGTCTCCCGGTCACCATCTTTTAACTTTTTTCTGGTCATTTTACAATAAAATTACATTCAATCAATATTATAGGGGGTTTTTCAAAGAATAATTTTTACTACAAATTTGTTTAATTTCATTGATTTCTTTGGATTTTACAGAACTCTAATGTTCTTGAATACTCGTAAGAATACGATAAAAACGATTAGGCTTAGATTTCTATTATAAGTAATTATATTTTTTTATTTATACAATTTATTATTTTGTTAACATTGTTTTGTGATTATTCGTTTAT